ATCACGTCCTACATCGTCCATATGTATATCTACCAGAACTCACGCATGGCATAATCATTTACTCCTGGCCCTGAAACGAATATCTCGATCATGAGGATCATAAATCTAGGAAAGGGTCCTATCTCTTGGTCGCTAAAATTCTCTCCACATACAGGGCGTGTGATACCAAAAGTTCCCCAAGCCGGAGGACTTCACAGTCTGGCTGTCAGAACTCCCCCAGGGGAGTGGGTACCTGCGACCGGGAGAACCGCTAAAGAGAACGCTAGAACGGGTCAACGGCTAATGGGCAACCCGAACAACCTGGACAGGATAGCCCAACGGAAAAAACCCGCCAACGGGGAGCCCGGCAAAGATGGCAGCGGCGCTTGCGGCAACCCCAGAGCCAGGGGAGGAACCCAACGGGAAGCACCCTAGACATGGAGGTCAGCCAATACGACACCACACGGGACAGGCGGCAGCCAGCAGAGCAACCCACAGAAGGGAAGAGACCCGGGAGTTTGAACCGGATGCCGGCCAGGGGAAGCGGAACCCCGGGAAAGCCGAGACCACCAGTAGGAAGAGGGACCTGCGGATAGCTGGGGCCCGTGTCACGGAACGCGCGGACGGTACACCAGAATCGGACGGCGGCACCTCACCACGCCGAGCAAGCTCTGCTCAAGAACAACAGAAGAAGGCACCGAGCTAGCCACGTTGAGGCCAGGAAAAGCCAAACCACGGATCTATATACGACAAGTACGGAGGCGAGACGGAAAGGGTCGCCATTCAGACCAATCAGGAACTAGAGCAATCCGTTAGTAAGAACTAAACCTAAAGATAAGGCGATCAGCTTAGAGGCAGGAAGGCGGACGGATCAGCCGCACTTTGTGCGAGCACATTGGAGAACGGAAGAAGCACAAATAAGCGAAACCAATAAATTCCTAGCTTAAACCTAAGTTCTTACAGGCGCTCCGGAACCAAGACCTAAAACTTGTGGACCAGCCAATGGACCTTAGGGACTTGCGGACCTACCTACCTACCTACCTACAAATACAAGCCACTGAACACCGCAACAATAACCATCGGCCGGCTTTGCAGCTTCTATCTGTGTTTGCTGACCTTATCTTTGCAGTTTGCTGCCTTTGTGCTTTTGCTTTTGCTGTTGCTGCTTGCCGGCACACCAGGAGAAAAACACCGCGCCACGGAACACCCACAGCAAGAAACTTTGCTCCGAACGTATGTACGACATCACTACATCACGAACGGACACAAAGTGGCACCCACGCAGTGAACATACGGGGAAAGACCTTCATGCGTACTCCCTACACGCCGTACCTACCACACACACAACCCTCGTGGAGTGTGCGTGGAGCACTAGAACTGAAAACGTTCTCTGAAACTGGTGGGAAACTCTTTCCAAGGCGTGACCCCTTCGCCAGGGTAAGCTTTGGCACCAGCGATAGCAAGGTTTCAGGTGGGCTTACCCCAGACGCTGAAATGCTTATCTGAACTGGTGGACAACCGATTTCCGGCAAGCGCATTCCTTGGAAGGTCGTTCTCGTAAACTCCGGAACCAGTGATGGATGTGGTGGGTCAAATTTCAGGTGATAGTCTGAGCGCAGAGTCTTACGTTTCTAGCGGAAGGGTCACAAAGATCGAGTAAGCGCGAGTTGAGTTTTGAAATGTGTATTTTTGCATGATTCCACGACGGCCGCAACACCGCAATTCAGTGCTGAAACTGATTCTCCTTTGACACCGCGGCATCAACGTCAGTTTGTTCTTGGATAAGAATAATGCCGCCTTGCTAGCCGCAAAGGGAGCACAGTAATCCACTTGCGCCAAATCACTTGCCTACCTGAAGGTTTTCTGAGTGCAACGCTAGAAAACCAAGGTTTTCATGCGAAGACTACGTTACAAACAAGTACCTGCACGCAAGGAAAGAACGTCTTCGTGAAAGGGTAGGGCCGGGAGAGGGCACACTACCACGAAGCGGATCACCAAGGCCTACAGACCAACCGCTTCACGGCAGCACCCAAACGTAGCTACGAACAACCCGAATTAGCCAACACTGTCGCGTGCCGCGACACAAGAGCCACACTGGCTCGTACGCCATACGGCAAAGACACTCCGTATTCGCAGAAAACCTTAGTTTTCAACGCTTCACGTAGAAAACTGTCAGTTTTCATGCGAAGACTACGTTACAAACAAGTACCTGCACGCAAGGAAAGAACGTCTTCGTGAAAGGGTAGGGCCGGGAGAGGGCACACTACCACGAAACTTCAATAATCGCGGAGGGGGCGGCCGTGCCCTTAGCCACCCAACCCCGCACAAGGCTACAGCCACAAGGAACGTCAACAACACGCTTCCACGCTATGGGGCCGCTGCCCCCGGCCTCTCCGGGCCCCGACCCGCGAGTTAACACTCGTGTCGGCTCCCAAACACCACGGGGCTGCTGCCCCCGGCCTCTCCGGGCCCCGACCCGCGAGTTAACACTCGTGTCGGCTCCCAAACACCACGGGGCTGCTGCCCCCGGCCTCTCCGGGCCCCGACTCGCGAGTTAACACCCGCGTCGGCTCCAAACCACCACGACCTACCCGGGCCCACGGGCTGTGAATTACCTCTCACACCCACACCACACTACACCCCGTTACTTCTCCTTGCACTCTTTGGCGAAGTGCCCAGGCTTATTGCACTTGAAACAGACACCCGCCGCCGCCGCCTGCTTCACCCCGGCCCCCGCGCCAGAGCCGGCCGGCACGCTCGCGGGTTTGGCCTGCTTGGGCTTCTTGCCCGCCACCGCCTTCACGGCCTGCTTCAGCGCCTTGCGCTCCTCCTCCGTCTCCGCGTACGCCATGCCACGCATCTCATGCACGACCTCCCAGCCGTGGTTGTATGCAACGACCAGCTCCTTCGCGACCCCCCGGAACACGGCCTTGCCGTCGGTGATGGCAGTCTCCATGGCCTCGATGTTCCTGAAGCGTTCCTCGCCGGGCCGAGCCGCGAGGACGTTGCGCCACGCGTCCTCAATGTCCATTACCGCATTGTAGCATTTCTCGATATGCGCGCGCTGTCCGCTGAGAGACTTGTTCGCTTTGCCCTCGCTGGCGCCGAAGTCACATTTGAAATCCTCAAGGGCGACACGGGCCCGCTTCGCCGGTGGACCGTCGACCGCCTGCACGTCAGGCTTCGTGTCCATAAGCTTCTTAATGGTTGTCAGCTGCAGCTTCACGGCGTTCAGCTGGTCCATGGCAGCCAGCTGCTGCTTGTTCAAAATTACGCCCGGGTCAGCGGCGCGACGCTCCTGCGCAGCCTTGACATCTTTATTTTCCTTAAGTGCGACTAGTCGCGCTTTTAGTTCGGTGTACATCGTGTTGTAGCTGACCGAAGTCTCGCTGTCAGAATCGGACATTGTAATTGAGGGCACACTACCACGAAGCGGATCACCAAGGCCTACAGACCAACCGCTTCACGGCAGCACCCAAACGTAGCTACGAACAACCCGAATTAGCCAACACTGTCGCGTGCCGCGACACAAGAGCCACACTGGCTCGTACGCCATACGGCAAAGACACTCCGTATTCGCAGAAAACCTTAGTTTTCAACGCTTCACGTAGAAAACTGTCAGTTTTCTGTGAACTCAGAGGAGTTGTGCCCTCGTAAGGGCGTTGGTACGGCACTTGGTGCCAGTTAAGGAGTTCGCGAGTGCTTGGAGGACTGATTTTCGGGTTTTGTAGCTACATAGGGTGGTTGCCGTGAGGCTGTAGGCGTCAAGGCCGTAGCGATAGCCTTCGCGGTAGCCGGCCCTCACCCGGCCTACCTACCGATTGAAGACGGCTGTTTACTGCTTGCAGGTACCCTTAGTGTGTAACGAACGATGGTTTCTCATGAAAACTCAAATTTGTCTACAGCTACGCTTCAGTCAAAAAAAAAGTTCCAGCTAATCATGCTCCGCAGGGCATGAATCAACGCACTTGTAATCATGGATCATTCTGATGCGGACAACAACCCACACAGAAGCGCGAAATCCACTTCTTTTGCCTACCTGCCCTCCGCCAGAACCGCTTACACAAATCAAATCCTCGCCATACTTGCGACTGCTCTGTTATTAGCCCCTGCAGCCCTGTGTCGCACGGGGTCCGTAATGACCCATGGGTCACACAGGACCCTTCTGTGTCCAACAGTGAAGTCATCCGCGCCGTTACATGTCTAGTTACAAGTTATAAGTTACAAGTTCCGCACACAAGTGCGGGTGTGTCCGTAAAAGCCGGGGGGCCCATGGACGTTGTATTGGTATTGATGCGGGTTGTATTGGTATTGATGCGGGAAGATGAGGTCATCTTCATTCTCCCTCGTCCGCTTCAGGGCGAAGCGCCTCAGCGCGACGTGCCTGGCCTCCCAAATTTCCGAGAGGTACCTGGCCAATGCCAGGGGTGGCGCCTCAGTCATAATGGTGCGCATGCTGCGCCTCGTAAGGACTAGGTCACCATCATACTTAGCCCGTATGCTCATGTAAGCGGGACATTCTTCGAAAACATGCAACTCATCTTCAACCGCTCCACAGTCACAAAGCCTGCATGTACGCGCGGTGCGCTCACGCCCATTAGGCCTATTAACCTCTAACTCCCAGCAGCCTAATCGAAAACGCATGAGCACATGATGAAGTCGCTGGGGCATGGTCCCTTTAGTGTGGTCCCTTTAGTGTGTTTACATGTCTAGTTGTGTAGGCATAATCCGATCTAGGCTTACCCGTGCCCGTTCCCACAAGTTACATCGCTGCTTGCAGCAGCTACTAGAAGCACAAGAAAGACATATTCAATTTCACGACGAGGACATTTTAGAAAAGGCATATGAACGTGGGTAGAAAGAAAGCAACATCCTACTCGTAACCGAATCTCACCTAACTTCACCTCATCGCACCTTATCTGACCCTGTCGCTGTGTCTCATTTTATTTGCAAAAATGACATAAATATATACTTCCTTATCCTTATCCTTATCCTTATCCTTGTCCTTGCCCGCACGCTACCTACAGCCTACAGCCTACCTCTGAGCCAAGGTCGCCGCAGAGGACCTGCCGGGCGGCCGGGGAGAGCGCAAAACAACAACACCCCCACCAGAACAAGGGAAGAACGCAGTCCCGGGGGAGACACGGACGCACCAACCTGCCAAGTCCGTGCCCAAATAATGACGTATCACCACATCACCACATCACCACGTAACAACCACACACACACTACATCAATCACCACACCAATCGAGTAAAGCGCATTACAAACATAAAAACAAACAACCAGAAACTCCTATCGCTAGTAGCACCAGGCATTAAACCTACCAGGTATAACCAGGTATAAAAACATAAACCCAAGCAGGAGAAGTTTAAAAAAAAGCGCATTCCTCCAGAGGGAAGATAAAACTAAAACCCAATCATCCGGCAACCGCCGGTGTCGCGCCGGCTGTCGTACCACCGCCGTACCTCCTCCAGCAATGACACCAGTCGCACTGCGTCGGCCTCCGCCGTCACCTCCAGGGTGGTGACACACAGCCACGGCGACTGCGGCGGCAGCCCACACCCGGCCGCTTCATCTTCCTCGTCCTCGTCCTCCTTCGCAACGCCGCCCGTCAATGACGCCGACATCCCACCCACCCCGCCAACATACCGCTGGCCCCTAATGGCTTGAACCCCGCCTCGCACCGGCTCCGGCGGGGACAGCGCAACCCCGCTGCCTGACCCAGAGGACAACCCCCCGCCGCCCCCAGGCCCCGCGGGCCCCAGTGACGTAGCGGAGCCCCCGGCGGCGCCGCTGGCTCCCTCATGCTCGCGGGAATGTACGGGACCCGCCGCCGCCGCCGCGACTGCTGTAGCTGCCGGTGCCGTCTGCCGATACCGAAGTGACAGCAGTGAAGCCGACCCGCTCTCGGAAGACGACCTGAACAGCGACCCAGCCCATCCACTGCCGCCGCCGCCGCCAACCCCGCCATCGTTGCCGCCGCCGCCGCCGCCGCCAGCAGACTGCGATACCTTGCGCGTAGCTGCGGCAGTGGGTTGCGCTGCGACTTCAGCCGTCGACTGCAACTGCTGGTGCTGGTGCTGCTGGTGGTGGTGGTGGTGGAATCGCTGTAACCTCGAAACAGCGGGTGACATTGTGTCGTGGCGGTGGCGGTGGTGGTGCAGCCGCCGCGACGTATCTTCCAGATGCAAATGGGCGATGCAAACCACCCACCCTTTGCTGCTACTGCTGCTGCTACTGCTACTGCCGCTGTTATACCTACTACCGCCACTTTCTGTGACCCTTTCCCCCGATGCGAAGCCTTGGCCGCCGCCGCCGCCGCCGCCGCCGGTGCCGCCGCCGCCGGTGCCGTCGGTGCCGTCGGGACGCAGCTGTGGATGCGGTTGCGGCAACCGAGATGGCGACTGTGCTACCCAGGCCAGCTGCTGCTGCTGCTGCTGCTGCTGGTAGTAGGTGGCTGTAGCGAGGGCTGTTGCTGTTGTTGATGCCATGACCAGCCCCTCCAGGGGTAGCGCCAGAGTGAGGGCCAGGTCGGCGGGGTGGGTGGCTAGGCGCCACTCGGGCGCTGGCGGGGGGCCTGGCTGCCTGGGGGACACCACCAGCAGGTGCTGCAGGGTGACCACTGCGAAGCTGGAGTCGGAGATCTGCGCAGGTGGTCCAGGAGGTGGTGGGGGTGGGGGTGGGGGTGCAGCAGGCGATGAAGCGATGAAGGGGTGGGTGGGTGGGTGTCAGGCTAGGCGCAGAGGAAGATGGGGGTGCATACATGCATACATGGATACATGCATACATACATGCGGTACACAGGTTTGGCACTACTGGTAAGGCGCGACCATCGCCCCCGGGATATCCCGGGATTGATACCCATTAGGGTCAAAGTCCTTCCGATGGTGGAAGGCATTGCGCCCCTAGTTGATGGATGGTGGTGACCTGGGATAAAGTTAACCTGCGAGCCGACCAGGAACGGAGTTGGGCCGCTGTCGACCCGGCAGATTCCGTTGGATGCTGGTGGTGGGTGCGGAACCTGAGCGATCCACTGAGAAGTTGACTAGGGTGACTGGATGAGGGTGCCCCGAAATACCGGGGAAGGCAGGGCTTCGCAGGGTAGCTGCCACGGGCGAAGATACACCCCCCTGTTTCACACATCATACAGAGGTTAAGGCCTGACTTCTGCTCCCGGAGTGTCCGGGTTCAAATCCGCCTGCCAACCTCTCGGGTGTGTGAGAGATGTTGAAATGGGAGGTGGCCCCCCATCTTGTGGACGGTGAAGGACGTGATTATATCAACTTGCGAGCTAACCAGGAACTAAGTTGAGGCGCCGCTAGATTTGGTTGGATGCTGGTGGTGAGTTGCTGAACCCATCAAATACATTCAGAAGTCGGATGGGGGAAATGGATTAGGGTGCCCCTCTCGCAGGGGAGAGCAGGGAACTGCCTCCAAGGGAAAGGGGGCCGCTGGTGAAGCTATACCACCCTGTAACAGCATTATACACAAGACGCAGCACCCCCTACACAGGACCCAGCCAACACGCACCTGCACTCCCCCCACGTACACCTCCTCCGCAAAGACGCCCCCCCGGACCTCCCGCAGCAGCAGCCGGCACAGGGACTCCAGCCAGCAGTAGCGCTGCAGCGGCGCAGCGGGGTCCACGTAGCGAGGAATGCGGGGCCGCACCACACCGCCGCGACCTGCGCCCAGGGGGCCCCCGGGCCCCCACCCCCACCCCCAGCCGGAGCCGTGGTGGGGCGACACGGCCGCTCGCAGGGAGGCTGCCGCCACCTCCACCAGCTGCAGCACGGCCATGGATGGCAGAGCCTACGGGGGGGGGAAGGGGGAGGGGGGGGCCCCAGGGGCGAACAGCAGCAGTAACAGGAAGGGGAGGGGGAGAGAGGCAACGGCCATCAGCAGTTTAGGTATTGTGCAGTGCTACGCTTGACAAGAGGTAGGTGGGCAGCAGGAGCAGCAGCAGCAGCAGCCGGTAGGGCGAGCGCTCAGGGTGGCCCAGGCAGAGCCCAGCTACTCCCCTCCCTTCCCCCACTTCCCCCTACGACCACCCACCCACCCAGGTCACCCCCTTACTCACCACCGCCCCCAGGCCCCCCAGGATCAGCTCCCGGGCTGTGCCGGTGGGGCTCAGTCGGGAGGCCTCCGCGGCCACCCGCTGAAGGATGGCCGCATAACCCTCCCATGTAGACTGGGGGAGAGGGGGGAGGGGCGGCAGGGCGGCAGGCGGGGAGGAAGGGGTACATGACCTTTCAGAGCGTCAAGAAAGGCGTTGAGAAGAGTCAAGAGTGTATGTAAGAGAGAGGGAGAGACAGAGGGTGTGCGTACGAGGTGTGGAAGCAACGGTGGGTGGTGTTGTGGTGTTGCCACACATTCCCTCCGACATCCATTTCCCGATCCCCTTATCATGCGTCGAAGACAACGACGCCCTCCAGGTGCCTACTTCATTAACCGAGGCCGCATGACTGACGGGTGACGGGTGACGGGTGAGGACTGTGTGTGTGTCTGAAGGGGGGTGGGGAAGAGGTACGGCGTGCAATGCCGCGCAGACATCTTAAGCGTCCTCCGCGTCCCGCCTCATTGACTTACGAACAAGAGGTCGCGCTGTCCCGGCGTCGAGCCGTGCACCCGCGCGCCGCTGCCGCTGACGCGGCGGCCGTACGGCATTACATGTCCGCTGCCGCCGCCACTGCTACCGGCGCCGGTTCGCCCGGTAGCGGTAGCCCTGCCGCTGCGCGATGCGGCGCCGACGCCGCCGCCGAGACCACCGCTGGCGGCGCGCAAGCCAACGCTGCCGCTGCCGCTGCTACCACCACCTGCCGCCGCCGCCATCGCCGGGTACGGCAAGGGCTCCGGAGCTAGGTTCGCCAACGTTGTACGAGCCCTGCGACTGGCCTTGACGACGCTGTTGCTGGCGGCGTAGGTAACGCTGCGGACCTGCGAATCAGTTTTAATCCGGCAGTGTGGGAAGCAGCATGCGGCCCCCAGAGCCGTGTCCCCGCGTCCTCACGCACACTCCGCAAATCAGATTCGCGGGTAGGCAGTAGGCAGTAAGGGGCCGCAGGTAACGGCCGGGTTGGGAGGACCAAGGCCCCACCTCCACTTCGCCCCCAGTGGCCCCCGGTGGGTGGCGATGTGCAATAAAGGTGACGGGAACACTCTCCGGTCGCGGGGCCTCGAGGGCGCAGGCCGGGCGAGTGTGTATAGGTGTGTATAGGTGTGTATAGGTGTGTATAGGTGTGTGTGGGTGCATAGGTGTGGGTGGGTGGGCAATTATATGCAGGTCTCAAGGTTTTCGCGCCGGTGGAGGCATCAGAGATCCGAGGCATCAGAGAATTCCCCCCGAGGAGAGCACCAACAGGGGCCCTAGCCCCGGGCTCCAACCGGCACGACGCGGCACGATGCGGCTCTAACCCGGGGGCTCGCCGATCTGTTCCTCCCGTTCCTCCTCCCCCCTCGCAACGTCTGGTACACTCTTGCCCTGGCAGCAGCTTCACTCGTTCGTGGTTCGTCCTTCCCCCCTCGCACCCTTACCTCCCCGCCTCCCCCTCCCTCGCCCCCCCACTCCCCCACTCATTCGTGATTCGTCTTCCCCCCACCCACCCCCCCGCCCGCCTCACCATGCTTCCCAAGCCGCTAACCAGCCCCGCAGCGAACTTCCGTACGTCCCCCCGCAGCGCCCCCGCCACCGGCATGCTGATGAGGTGCCACACCCCCAGCCCCAGGCCCTGCAGCAGCCGGACCACATCCCCGAATATGTCCAGGGAGCCAACCACCTTGATCAGCTCCAACAGGGCGCAACTCATGTAGTGGCGAACCACGTTCTGTAGAGGGGGGTGGGGGTGGGGGCAGTGCAGTTTAATGCAGTTTAATGCAATGCCGGTGGGGGGGATACAGCAATGGGAAAGGAGGAAAGGAGGGACGGGGCAGGGGGGTTGGGAAGGTGGCGAGGGGCTACAAATGAACGACTTCAACTGCCGATAAGAGGTGGATGTGAAGGCTCAGGTAGGGGAAAGGAAAGGAAAGGAAAGGGCTCAGGAGCCATGAGGAGGTTGGGACACCAGGGAAAGGGGGGAACGTGTTGCAAGGGGACCGCCGGTGGGTGCAAGTGCTCGTCGTCGGTTGGAGCAGCACACGGCCGCTCCAGGAGGGGGGTGGCCTCCGCGAGGGCAGCAGCCGCCAGCCGGGGATCCCGGGGCCCGCGGGGCCGTGTGGTTGGGTATGCGGCAGCGCCGGGCTCCCCCGGCCTCGGTCTGATCCGTTGCCTTTGGCTGTGTGCGCTGGGCCCGCCTTCCACACAACTCTGTACCGGTTGTTCCTCCAGGGAAAAGAATATGTAAATAAATAAAATATTTTATGTCAATGTTTTATTAGTGATAATAATAATAATAATAATAATTATTATTATTATTATTTGTATTTTTATTAAATTGCTATTATCATGACTATTATTAAGCAAAGAACTGACGCACCTGTACCAGAGCCTCCCTACGCATCAAAGCATACCGCATATCCAGCGGCCGTAGCAACACCCAGGCATTCTCAAGGTGTGCCAGCGACACCGCCAAACGTACGGCAGCATCCACAAGGCCGCCGCCGCCGCCGCCGCCGTCCTCGCCGTCGCCGGAACCAATGTCCGCCGGGCCAACAGCTCCAGAGCCGCCGGCGGCGGTGGCATCCACGTCATCATCCGCGAGGAACCCGCCGCCCCCGTCGGCCGTCAACACGGCGGCGGCTGCAGCGGCGGCGGCGCTGCCTCCACCGTACGGCCCTGGCGAGAAGGAGGCCGAAATCCGGATTTCGCCGATGTGCAGCTGTTCAATGTAAATGCGATGGCTGCGCGGGGCCGGTACGAGCATGTCGTGTGCATCCTGCAGGACGTGAAACCCTGCGGCGGAGGCGCGAGCCCCCGCCCAACCGCCGCCGCCACCTCCCGGCCGCGACGGTGCAGCGAAGAGATGTTCTCTCGCACCGCCAGGAGGGCAGGATACCGGATGACCGCTGAAGCTGTTGCCGCCGCCGCCGTCGCCGCCGTCGCCGCCGCCGCGCTGTGAGCCTGGCGACCTGGGTGCTGCACCAACAACAGGATGAGAAAGGCCCCCGACGGCGCCGGTGGGGGAGTGCACCCTCCGCTGGGCGCTGACAGCGAAGCCGCCGCCGCTACCGCCGCCGCTGGCTCCTTGGTAAGGGAAGCCGTTAAGCAAAACCTCATAGGCAGCGTAAGATGATGCACTAGTGCTGACGGCGCCGTGATAAGCGCCGCCGTGAAAGGACGGAGATGTGGGACGATGCAGTGACGGATCAGGCACGTACGGCACATGTGGCTCTCCGTGCCACGGTGGCGCTGCTGGTGCCGTGAGCCGCGTGCACTGGTCGCCGCCACCGTCAGCACGCGCCGCAGCCGCCGATGCGGCGGCGGCAGAGAATTTCGACGTCAGCCGAAGAATTTCACGAAGGTGGGTTTCCTCGAGACTGACCGTCAACGGCGCCGCGGTCAGGCTAGCGTACTGCACACACGTGACGCCGCCGGGTCGGTTCCGCCACACCACAATGCGCCCGGTCAACGCCGGCGGAGCCGGCGGCGGACCAGCAGCTCGACCAGCGCCGCCGCCGCTGCTATCACCGCCGCTGGCTGCATGCACATCGCTGGCCGCCGCCGCCGCCGCCGCCGCCGCCGCAGGAGCAGCAGCTGCCTTGCGATAGCCCGGCGAAGCCCCGAGGAGTGCGAGTGCGTTGCTGCGTCTGTTACTACTGCTGCTGCTGCCGTCGTGCGCGGAGGTGGCCTCAGCGCTGGTGGCTCCGTCGTGCGGTGGTGGAGCGGCACCATGCTGGTGCTGTAGCGCCATGACCGCACTTTGCCGAAACTGGGATCCTAGCCGCCAGGCGGCCACACTGCCGCCGCCGCCGCCGCCGCCGCCACCAGCTGCGGCAGATCCCGGCGCAGTCGCCGACGGCGGCGGCGGTACGGGCAGCAACACCGCCGTGTTGAACATGGACCGACCCACGGGACTGTAGACCACGATGGGGAATGCAGCGTCCCGCATGCAGTTGTCCCACCGGGCATGTAGCAGAGCCGCCGAGGCCGAGATTTTGGCCGGGCCCACCAGCAACGTGCCGTGCAGCCCCTGCGCTAGCGCGTACAGCACCTCAGCTTGCTCCGAAACCACGCTAACCGCAATGCCCGCTACCACCGCTGTAACTTCCACCTCCCACTCCTCCCCAGCGACGGCTGTCGCACGGGTAGAAGCGACGGCAGCCTCCCCGGCAGCGGCGGCG